ACCCTGAGGAAGAGCCGAGCACCACCCTTGGTTCCCCACTGCGTCAACCCAAGGCCATGATCAAAAAACGTCTCATCAGAAAAGAACAAATCTCAATAGTTTTACCTAACCACCTCGAATTCGACGACCGCAGTGGGTTCCTCCTTGATATTTTTCCTCCCGTCGATATCAGCTAACAGCCTCCCTCAGTGTATCCATCCAGGGAGTATCTGCCCCGAGCAATAGAGAGAGACACAGAGAGAGAGAGAGAAAGCTAGACCACCCCAGTCAGGGCTATGGATGAGTGGGTTCTAACAACAGGGCATGGTACACAGTGGCGCGTCAGTCTGTCTGCCAGCTAGACATGGGTAGGGTAGGGGAGTGGACAGGGAGGAGAGAGGAGAGGAATGAGGCTGGATGGATGCAGGAGGCGAGCTCAGAGAGAGAAAGAGAAGAGAACGCCCTTTGGTTGGTCCACAGTAATATGGCTCAGGTGACTCAACCAAGGCTGCTGGGAGTCAGTGATGACATCAGCACCATCGTAGTGGGAGCAGGCAGTAGAGATCAGTGATGCAGCACAGAGAAGGAGGGTGGAGGGAGGAGGGAATGAGGGAGAAAGCAAACAGGGAAAGAAAAGGCAGGGAGGGGTGGGAGATGACCAGGGACCCATGTGTTGCCCCCATTATACAAAGCACAGATACAGTACTTTGAGGTGGTGTAGATCTCATTGGTTTCTCACTAAGCTCATTGGTTTCTCACTAAGCTAAACAGTAGAGAGTAAGGTTGTAATTCTATCCCGAGTCAATGCATGTACACCTACAGTACTACACCAAACATGCATCCACTGGCTGTTCACTAGTTGTTTGAGTATTCAGCTGTGTGGACACTAGTTTGGGTCATTGTTTCTCGCAAATATGGTTTCTTTGTCTAGTGATCGCGACGGATTTGTGTTATTATACTGGACTGCAACACTATTACAGAGTAGAGAGCAGAGATATGTTAGAAATCTTCTAAGAAGTCACCAATGTTCTTGTATTTGTATTTTCATGAGTGATATCTCTGTGAAGTTAATATATTAATGGGATTTTCCTCCCTTCAAGATACTGTAGTTCTATTCCGAGATATTCCAATGAAACTCTTTCTCAAATCAACTTACAAAGTCATCATCTTGAATAGACAATATCCTTGATCATATTCTCAATTAGAGCCAGGTCACAGAGGAAGCTGAGGAGGGTAGTAGAAGCTCAATGTTTCAACCCCATCTGCTGGACAGCTGTCACTATTACATAAGGCCGACATGGATAATGCATTATGATGTGGTTATAATGCATTGTAAGACCTGCCATAAGCAGCTATGACCACCTTATCATGTCTTATTTTCCTCTCTTAATATAATAATGATTCCGACTACATAAACGTAGAGACATAAGATATTAAAGACTAATACATGCTTAGAACAATAATCAAATGTTTGAAGGTCACTATTTTGTGAACCTGTTTTGCAGTATTGACCTGTACAAGGATCCCAAAAATTGTCTGTGATGGACAGACGTCATGTCTGCTCTTCTGTAATCAGATAAGGAATGACATGATTTACGCAGGACAAACAGTGTTACGCTGGCACATTATTTGGACATGTGGGGCCAGTACATTCAGATTATGTTACACAGTACAGATGTCCTGACAGTACTCCTGATCATGCCACATTTGATTTCCCTTTACCCAAACCAAACCAATATATCCCTTCTCTTCCTTTCTGTCTGTCTGTCTGTCTCTTTCTCTATTCCTCTCACATTTAGCAGACACTATTATCCAGAGTGACTTACAGGAGCAATTAGGGTTAAGTACCTTGCTTAAGGGCACATCGACAGATTTTTCACCAAGTTGGTTCGGGGATTAGAACCAGCGACCTTTCGGTTACTGGCACAACGCTCTTACCCACTAAGCTACCTGCCACTCACCCCCTGCTCTCTCTCTCTCTCTCACCCCCTGCTCTCTCTCTCTCTCGCTCTCAATTCAATTGAATGGCTTTATTGGCATGGGAAACATATGTTAACATTGCCAAAGCAAGTGAAATAGATAATAAACAAAAGTGAAATTAACAGTAAACATCTCTCTCTCTCTCTCCTCTTCTCTCTCTCTCTCTCTCTCTCTCGCTCTCTGTCTCGCTGACCGAGTGCGGAGGAGTAGAGAGCGAGAGGGTCTAGCGAGGAGGCGATGCAGAGTATCTCTCCTTTCTTTCGCGATCGCTCTCATCTAGATCTCTCTGCTCTAGGCGCTGCTATCTCGAGATTCTATCTCTCTCTCTACTCTTCTCGCTCTCTCTTATCTCTCTCTCTCTCATCTCTCTCTCTCTTCTATCTCTCTAGTGCATCTTTTCCTCTCTCTTAAGCTAGTGCAAAGGCCATTGAGAGATAAACAGTCTGTCTAATTATTGACCACGTGGGACATCAGGGGGAGGCACACGGATCGTTCAAGATCCCATTGTGACATAATAGCTAAACCCGACTGGACAAACTTGAAGCCAATTCAACTGCCCCCTACTTCGAGTAACTCACAACTTTGTTTCGTCAAGCGAGGTACATTCTAAATTATTCATCCTGTCCACTATGCATTCATTCACAGTGGATGGTATATTGTTATACCTATTATATATGTTTCTGCATGGATTTCTCAAAATAAAGTTATGGCTATCACATTGAATTCTCATTCAATTGATCAATTTAAGGTGTGAATCAAAGGGCATCCAAACCAGCCATTTATTTTTGGAGCATATATTATAGTACTCCTTTAAGTAACTCCTTTAATTTAACTTACTCCTTCCTTCCTTGAACTCCTTTAAGTAACTCCTTTCATTTAACTTACTCCTTCCTTGAACTCCTTTAAGTAACTCCTTTTATTTAACTTACTCCTTCCTTCGTTGAACTCCTTTAAGTCGACAAGTTTAGTCCCGTGTAGCTCAGTTGGTAGAGCATGGCGTTTGCAACGCCAGGGTTGTGGGTTCGTTTCCCACGGGGGACCAGTATGAAAAAAATAAACATGTATGCACTCACTAACTGTAAGTCGCTCTGGATAAGAGCGTCTGCTAAATGACTAAAATGTAAAGTTGGTCAAAACTCCCATACTGAATGACTTCATTGTACCCACAAGGATTTTTTTACTAAAATACTTCTAGTAAGTTGTGCTCAAGGCGTATTTCTGTCTGTAATAAAGCCCTTTTGTGGGGAAAACCGCATTCTAATTGTCTGGGCCTGGCTCCCCAGCAGTTTGACCTGGCTCCCTATGCCATCCCAGGCCCACCCATGGCTCCGCCCCTGCCCAGTCATGTGAAATCCATAGATTAGGGCTAATTTATTTATTTAATTTGACTGATTTCCTTTTATGAACTGTAACTCAGTAAAATCTTTGAAATTGTTGCATGTTGCATAAATTTTTTTCCCCAGTGTAAATGAGAAGTCACACCAACTCTATTTTTGTAAGTTGTGATAAAAAATGACATTTTTTCCCAGCATGCTCTACTGCAAATGATTTTTTGGAATCGTTTTTCATATCTGTGTTCTTGCATTTACATTGATTGATTGATCAATTAAATGTTATGCTACACAAAGATATATAATTTTTTCTAAACTAATCCAATCATTCAAGTTTTGCACCTGTTACTGAAATGGTTGTTCCAGTTTAAATGTCAGAATTTTGCAACCCTACTTGCAGGCCTGTAAAACAACAAGTTTTATGATATATGTAATGGTTCAATTATGATTAGAAAGTCACTTAGTGAAGGCCACAGAGTTGACAAGGAACGAATTCAACAACCATGTCTCTGTCACTAGCAAATACAGTCATGGGTAGTAACTCTACAATTCAATCAAAAAGACAAGGCACACTGGGAAATTATTGGAGGCGTGGCTTAGTGGGGGCGTTAAATGTAAGTATACCTTACTCAAGAAAACTGCATTTGTATTACTCATATGGAGGTAGTACTGCTCACTTCAGCTATTTAAGTTTCTTAACTTATTTTTTTTTAGGTAATTGGTTTCCTCAAAATGTTTGAGTAGCCAGAACTTATCCGGTTTTACAGTATACAATGCATGCTTCTTGGAACAGAAGAAAGTTCTCTCTTTTTCTATAACGTTGAGGTTTGCTTCACTGAAAGAGCTGGTTACAGCTAGCAAACCTCTGCTTTTATACAATGAATGAATGAATGAATTAACACATTTGTTTTTGAGTATAAGCTGCATGAAGTTGTTCTGGGACTTTTTCTTGACACATGAATCAGTGGGAAACGTTACTGTAGGTTGTTTTTCAATTATGGCCAACTCAAAATCCAACTTAAATAATGATCCAATAACCACAAAAGGCTATGTTACCTCACTTTTCAAGGAAAGGGCACTAGACAGAGTGAAATATTGATTAAATTTGGTACACATGAAAGTGAATGTGCACTCTCTCACGTGTGTTGGCACATCTCTTTGTTTGTCCTCTGTTCAGCCAATCCTCTCACTTAAAAAGGGTAGACTCCTCTAAAATCCTGAACAAATGCAGCACAAGGGGTGGGAAAGATCAACAGAGCACACACCTCCTGCAACAACCCAAAACCAAACTCAACTGGATCCAAGCATGCCTATTTCCAAACTGTGCCAAGGGGAAACCATTTCACCTGTAAAATAACCTCTCTAGTTACCAATAAAGGCATTCCATTGTCTCTTAACAAATGAGCAAATGTTGGTAATAGTATAAACCCCCTCTACAACTTCACCCCTTCAAACTAGGAAGCACATGCCTTCAGATGAATATGGTCATGATAATCACATGCTCACATTAATAATTGGTCGATAATGTTAAAAAGTCTGTTAAAGTGAACAATCTTTAACAGTTGGTGCTATTCTAAGCAGGTGGTTGACAATATACTATAGAACATTTGAGCCAATTCCACCTCTGTGCAGAGTTTTTATATGTCCACGACGTGAGGCACGACGCTCCGTGCCCAAGAGGTCAAAGACCTGTTTGTTTTAAATCTTCACCAAAACCAGAAGTCAACTCCCTCTGTCTGTCAGTGCAAGTCACAGTCGTCGTAAACACCGGAGCGAGGAGCTAACGATGATGCAACGGGCTTTGTTTCGCCGGGGAGCGCTGCTGGCGCAAAAGGCGGCTGTGGAGGTCTCACTGCTCCCGATGAGCGCGCCTCTCCAGCCGCGCCTTGACCGCGCCATGTCCTCGGTGACCATCCCGCCCCCGGAGTGCATGCTCCGGCCGCTCGAGGTTCCTTTCCGCTACCTGTTCGGACCAGGACCGTCCAACGTGCCTCCCCGCGTTTTAGCCGCAGGTGGTAGGGCAATTATCGGCCATCTGCACCCAGAAATGTTCGAGGTAAATGTGTAACCCCTATTGCTGATAAGTTCATTGTTTGATAACTATTTTTGACTTTTTGGCACCGCCAGAGGGGTTTCATTATCCAGCAGTTCTGTCATTTCTAGACTACTCAGTGCGCTTATAAATTCATGGTCAATATGAAGGAACACATTTAGGATATTATTTATGATTCCTAAATTGAGATGTGCATGAATATTTATTTTATTTTTATTTTATTTTAACAATTTATCGAATTATCAAAACAAGTCATGCATAATTGCGAATGCGTCAAATAAGCATTTTGACACATTTTACACTTCACAACTGATCCATCAACATTTGACAAAGGATTTGATGAACCACTCATAATTAATCTATGTAGGCTTAGAACTACAACTGTTTTATTCAACAATTTGACGCGTTGCTTGTAGATCATGAACGACATCAAGAAGGGGATCCAGTACGCTTTTCAGACACAGAACAACATGACGATAGCAATGAGCGGCTCCGGACACGCAGCGATGGAGTGCGCCGTCTTCAACACCGTAGAACCCGGGGAGAGCGTGCTCGTGGCTGTCAATGGAATATGGGGAGAGCGCGTGGCTGAAATCGCCGAGAGAATGGGTATGTTTTACGCACGGTTTTACTCACGAGTTCAGCGGTCTCAAAACAAGACCAGCGTTTGCGGTTTGATGTAATTTGAGAACATTGTTTATGGCCTTGTATACATCTGTTTTGTCTGGATGTTAGACTTTCATCTTGCATTATTCCAGGTGCCAATGTTCACACGATGGTAAAAGCACCGGGTGGAATTTTCAGCAATGAAGAAATTGAAAAGGTAATTGTTTGTTAATGCATTAGGCCTACCAAAGTAGCATTCACATAGAGCTTGTTCAATACATGTTTCAATACAGGCTCCTCGGCAACTTCAGTGTTACCAACCCTCACCTGTGACCAATTCTACTTATACAGTGAGCCCCAAAAGTATTTGGACAGTGTACTCCAGCATTTTGGATTTTAAATGATACAATGACTATGAGGTTAAAGTGCAGACTGTCAGCTTTAATTTGAGGGTATTTTCATCAATATTGGGTGAACCATTTAGAAATTCAGTGGTGTAAAGTACTTAAGTAAAAATACTTTAAAGTACTACATAAGTAGTTTTGGGGGGTAAAGTACATTTACTATAAATAGTAAATGTACTTTACTATTTATATTTGTGAAAACTTTTACTTTTACTTTACTACATTCCAAAATAAAATAATGTACTTTTTACTCCATACATTTCCCTTGATACCCAAAAGTACTCAGTACATTCTGAATGCTTAGCAGGACAGGAAAATGGTCCAATTCATGCACGTATCAAGAGAACATCCCTGGTCATCACTACTGCCTCTGATCTGGCTGACTCACTAAACACAAATGCTTTTTTTGTAAATTATGTGTGTGCCCCTGGCAATCCATAAAAAAAATGGGGTGGCCACCCAATCAAATCTCACTTATGGCCCCCAAAAGGCTAGAGCCAGCCATGATTACAGTCATAGAGCCTATATATTAAGTTCATATAGGCAACATGGCAAGGGCTCTAACAATGGAGGGCATTTAGTGCCAAAAGTATTTAGTTTATTTGACTGCCTATCTCCTGTCTATCGATAGGCCCTGGCCAAACACAAGCCCGTTCTGTTCTTCCTCACACATGGAGAGTCCTCTGCTGGCCTCGCCCACCCCGTCGATGGCATTGGAGACCTCTGCCGCAAGTGAGACTCCGCTCCATCTCAAAACATACTACAGTATATCTCCACTGTATTTCTCTCAGTTCACACTTCTGATGAGACAATGATGACCACAGCTTCACATTCAAGCCCTAAATTCCTCTCTCCTCTCTCTCCTCAGACACAATACACTGTTTCTTGTGGATACTGTTGCATCTCTTGGGGCAACGCCTATTTTCATGGACCAGCAGAGTAAGACAGCTTCAGACACCTATTTCATTTTCAGTATGTCTGTCTTTGTGTATGGGTATATGATGTTGTCATCATTTTCTTGTCTTTGTAGATATTGACATCCTGTACACTGGCTCTCAAAAGGCCTTGAATGCACCCCCTGGCACAGCACCCATCTCCTTCAATGAAAGAGCATGGTGAGGACTCTGTGTGGGTTTGTGTGCATGTGTGTGTGTTGAATGAGTGAGGGAAAGAAGAGGGAGAATGATTGAACGGAGACCAAGTGAATGTTTGAATTTTGAGAAATGTGGACTGACACACTCCCTCTTGAAACCCTCAAACAGCCAAAAGATGTTCAACAGGAAAACAAAACCAGTGTCCTATCTCTTTGACATGACCCACTTGTCTAACTATTGGGGAAATGATGGTCAACCAGCCAGACTGTAAGTCTACAGTATTCTCAATGAACAGTACTTTATTATGAGAAAATCTCCCATCCTAACCGGGTGAATTAATAATAAATTAATAACAATCTTTCATTTTGCCCCGTTTCAGATATCACCACACAGGACCAGTGTCTGGGTTATTTTCCCTGAGGGAAAGTCTTGCTATTCTTGCTGAGAAGGTATAGTGGCTGTTTGTAACAATCTTAAAATCCTATTGTCTTTTTCTTATAGCCACAGTGGAGAATGAGCTGACCATTTGTTCCTGACGTGTGTAGTCCATGAATCCAGAAATAAAATGTCCACATGTTTTTTGCCATAAAAAATAAAGTTAAATGTATTCCATATCTTGGCTACAAAATGTTACAAAAAGTAAATCAAAATAATGAGGATAAAAATAAGATATTTAAGCTGTAACGTAAGCATTATTGGATCAAAAAATCGAACAATATCACAGAGACAAAGGAAGCACGGTCAAAAGACAGTATGGGCTCCAGCCAGCCATTCCCAGTAGGCCTCTGTACCCATGACTATTTAAGCCATCTCCAGCCTGCAGAGGGAGGCATAGACACTTACAAATGATTAATGTCAGTCAAACAATATGACAAATAAACAGAATGGCATATAAACAATAACAGAATTCTAATTTATACAAATAACAAAACCTGCTATTTGGCTCTTACATACCAGCCCCTTATTGTATGTAATGTGAGGCAACAATAATTATCTGAACATGTTTGCCAAAATGTGTGGGTGTATGCATAGCCTTTGTTGTTGGTCAGTCCATAATCATCTCAGTGGATTCTTGCAGTAGGCTTTTGGAGACAGGACTCTTCAGTTAACCTGTTTTAGTGCCTTCTTCTGTTCACCAACCTTCCACTCTCAGGCATGGCTGCTGTATCCAGATATTCTTCCACTTTCAAAAGTCCATCTTCTGGCACTGGATTCAACTTGTCACTTTCTTTTTGGCTGCTAGATGTTATCATTTCCAAGTCTGCCATTTTCTCTCCAGGCCTCCAGAGGAATCTTGGGTCACAGATTCTCCTTTTATTCTCCTCTGTTTGCCATTGCTTTGTGATACTCACGGCCATGTATATCAGTCCCTTCAGTACTTTTTCAGCAATCAACTCCACATGGACATTTTGTTTGCTTGGGTTACCAACACCTTCAGGAAACCAATCACCTTTTGTCACCTTGGTTTTCTTTTGGTCCTCTTATGCTACTGCAAATGGAGTGTTCTGCTTGTCCAGGATCTTTTCTCCATTACACTTGAGAGCCTTTGGTAACTCTTCCTCTGTGGGAAATAACAACGTCAAATAACTTTTGATGTCTTTATCCCTCTTTGCCGCGTTCAAGTTGTCAGCATGAAGCATTTTCTTTCTTGGAGGAGTCTTATCCTTGGATTCCACTTTCCTCTTTTCAGGGAAAACTGCAACAACAGCTTAATTCTGATCGCTGACATGTTCACTCATTTCATTTCCATTTGTCTCCTTCTTGACATGATCATTTTCCATTTTATTCTCTGACCTCTAAATGGTCTTGACCTTTTTCTTCTCAGCATCAGGGGAACTAGTTGTCTGTCTGCTCCTCCTGAGAGTCGTGATCATACTTCATCTGCTCAACACTATCATCTACAACAGAAACAGTTTTTGTTATTGTCATTACCTCCATCATTGATATTATTGTCCTTCACTGCCTCCTCGGGTTCTTTGGAGACAATCTCTGTGGGGTATGACATCATTTGTAGCTTTAGCTGATGCAAAAAGAGGACCGAGCACGCCCCCATTCTCATCGACGGGGCTGTAGTGGAACAGGTTGAGAGCTTCAAGTTCCTTGGTGTCCACATCACCAACGAACTATCATGGTCCAAACACACCAAGACAGTCGTGAAGAGGGCACGACAAAGCCTATTCCCCCTCAGGAGACTAAAAAGATTTGGCATGGGTCCTCAGATCCTCAAAAAATTATACAGCTGCACCATCGAGAGCATCCTGACTGGTTGCATCACCGCCTGGTATGGCAACTGCTTGGCCTCCGACCGTAAGGCACTACAGAGGGTAGTGCGTACGGCCCAGTACATCACTGGGGCCAAGCTTCCTGCCATCCAGGACCTCTATACCAGGCGGTGTCAGAGGAAGGCCCTCAAAATTGTCAAAGACTCCAGCCACCCTAGTCATAGACTGTTCTCTCTGCTACCGCACAGCAAGCGGTACCGGAGTGCCAAGTCTAGGTCCAAAAGACTTCTCAACAGCTTCTACCCCCAAGCCATAAGACTCCTAAACAGCTAATCATGGCTACACGGGCTATTTGCACCCCCCCCATCATTTTACGCTTCTGCTACTCTGTTAATTATTTATGCATAGTCACTTTAACTCTACCCACATGTACATATTACTTCAACTACCTCAACTAGCCGGTGCCCCCGCACATTGACTCTGCACCGGTACCTCCCTGTATATATAGCCTCCCTACTGTTATTTTATTTTACTTCTGCTCTTTTTTTCTCAACACTGTTTTATTCTACTTTTTATATTAAAAATAAATGCACTGTTGGTTAAGGGCTGTAAGTAAGCATTTCACTGTAATGTCTGCACCTGTTGTATTCGGCGCATGTGGCCAATACAATTTGATTTGATTTGATTTGCACTCTACACCTCAGAGTTGTTGTCAACTGCTTCACCACCTTCTCGGATGGCAAACTTGCTATGCTCTGACCTTTCAGACTTCTCCACTTTCTCACTGAAATCAGTGTCACAGTGGCTAGTCGGGTCCTGCAGGTTGATCAAGGAGATCCTACTGCATTCTCTATGTGGACCGCTTACCACCCAATCATAGTATGGTCTTGACAGCATACGGGCCTTCTACTTGACTATGGATCACCTGCCAGGGCTCCATTACTTGTGATGCATTTGTTCCTATTAGCAATCCAATGTCAGCATGTATGTGTGACAGCTTAACATCGCCCAGATATGGCCACTTGGACAGCTCATCTTGTCTGGCGATGTTTCCTTTGTCACTGGTAGGTTTTTGTGAGTGCAAACTTCAGGTAGTTTAATGAACTTGTTGGTGTCAAGCCGACTCACCTCTGACAAGCCTTATCTGACCCATGGTACACAGCAGGACGTTTCTTCTTGTTCCTGTAACATTCAGCTGCTGAGCCAGTTTGTCGGTGCAGAATGTTGCTGAGCTACCTGGGTATAAGAATGCATATGTTAGCAATACCTTGTTTTCTTTGCTGGATTTCACATGAACCGGTATGATGGATAGAACAAACTCCTCTTCACCGGCTCAATATACCCACATGCATGAAGCGAAACCAGTGCACTGCTCACAGGTATTCTGAGTGTTCCTGTTCCTCTTTTCTTTAGCTCCATATGAAGCACACTAAGGTGGGGTTAGTTGCACACATTCCATATGAGAGGCCTACTACAGTCTCTGCTCATGGGACCCTTGGTCAGACAACCAAAGCAGATGCCTTTCTCCTTTAGAAAATGTATCTTCTCCCTGTGCAACTTCTCCTTTAGTAATGGACAGAGTTCCAGTGTGTGACCACCACTGCAGAACAGACAGACAGATAAACATGGGGTTTAAAAGCTTCTATTCACCTGGGTCTGTTGTGGTTGTTGCTTGAACCCTGACTCAGCGGTTGCTACACTGGTGGCAAAGGTGTACTTGTGGTCTATGGGTTTTAGCCTTTACCTCTGGTTTGGCAAGGTTGGATTTGATGTTACCTCTGTCACGGTTGACACTTGATTCTTGAATGTTACCAAACACAGGGTCAAAAAATACTGTATCTTGACTTGTTTTTTAATTAACTGAACCAGGTCACTGCATTTTGCCCTGCTGCTCCGTCGCTCTTGTAGCTCACAGGCAGTGGACCTCCACCTTTCTCTTAGCTTGTATGGAAGTTTCATGACAAGTACTATTATGTTGGATGCAAGATCCCGTTCCTCCATGTAATCCATTTCCTCCGTAGCATTTCAGCACCCTCTGAGATATAAAGCAAAGGCCTGCAGTGCTTTGAGGCATTCAGCCTTGATGGTAAACCAACCAAGGGCCTTATTTCTGCTGAATGCAGATGCCATCTGATATTCATTACCAAATTTATCTTTGAGCAGTTTCTTAGCTTTTGGGTAGCCTCTGTCATGAGCCATATGCTGACAGCCCCTAGGCTTTCCCCTGGTGTACTGCTCAAGAAAATACAGCCTGTCCTTAGCACTTTCTGTTCTGCTTTCAATTACATGTTCAAATGATCTGATAAAGACCTGTACTGCATGGGATCTCCAACAAACACAGTGATCTTCTGTGGCAAAGCAGAAAGATGCTGTTTGACTAGAATGTCAGTCATGTCATTTAGCCTCTTTAAGATGTTAGAGGTTGTCATGTTCACCATTGTCCTGTATGGTAGGGTTTCTTGCCTTCTCTCCCCTATGACCTCCATGTGAATGGGTCGGTTCAGAAGGTCTGCCTTGGCCCTGTCCATGTTAATGGCCTGCAGACTTGAGTTAGGGACCTGTGCAGCTGTATGGTCTCTCCTCTGAGCTCTGTGTGAATTAGCTTGCCCAGAAGATGTGTTTAGTGCAACATGATCTTCGTAGGCCTGCAAACCTGGACTACCGTAAACTTTCAATTAAACGCTGAGTCTCAAATAGCCACCTGTCCCTTTTAATATCCGTGAATGGCACACATTTCAGCAAATAAATGCCTGCTTCAAATAAACAGCTCGGTCTAAATGAATTGTTTACGAGGTTACCATGAATTACTATGAATTGTTTACAAGGTTTAATGTTTGATTTGTTACATTAAATAATTCAGTAACGACTCAAACAAATTATGGCAGTCATCCATTTTTATCGCCAGTAAGAAATTGCTGAGAACTGCTAGCTAACTGGCAAGCACAAAAACAGTCAACAACTTCGGGGAGTGCACACCCCCATAAATCGTCCGGTCACCATCTAGTGGCGAAAGTAAGAACTGACGAAAATGCACAGTCAAAGAGGAGAATAATTATTGTCAAGGGTTTTTATTTTTTTTAATGTTAATAGAGGCATACTAAGACAAAATAAATGTGACACAGTGTGTACATGATAACACAGTGCAGGAAATTAAGAAATGTATTAAAATGTTGGAAGTGAATGCTGGAATTAAACAATTAACTATGCAAATTAGCAAAAGCTGTGTGCATTAAAGAAATAGACGCCTTGCTCAAATAGAAGCCTGTCTCTAATAAGCGCCTGTTGTGTTTAGTGATTTAAGCAAATAAACGGCAGGCTATTAATTAAAGTTTTACGGTAAGCATGTGATTCACTGAGACCTCCATGAGGTGCACTGAGCTCTCTATAATGGAAGAATTACCTAAATGAATAAACCATGTTTAGGTTTATTCTGATGCAGTCCTATTAGCTAATTACTTTGAACATTGCTTCTAATTCTCTAAATACATCAGAAAAATGTATTTACTACCAGCTTTGGACCAGTTTCAGGCTTACTGTGCCTGTCCATTCAGTACCCAGTCTTTGTCTCCCCGTAGGGGCTGGAGGAGTCCTGGAGGCAACACAGGGAGGTGTCAGGGTACCTCTGGAAGGGCCTGGAAGACATGGGGCTCAAGCTATTCATCCAGAACAAGGTAAAAGACTTGCCGTGCATCTGAAATCGCACCCTATTCAGTGCACTACTTTTGTCCAGATGCTATTTGCATATAAAGTAATGCAGTATGGAATAGAGTGCCATTTCAGACAGATTGTCAACAAACAATTTACATTTTACAATAATAGTGTCACTTTAACATCCTCTGGTTTCATGGCTCGTGCAATTCCTTGGTCTTGAATTTCACAGAGGTGTGTGTCTAAATGTGAGACCGTGATATTTTGTACATGCAGGACCTTAGGCTACCCTCCGTCACCACCATTGCCATTCCTGAGGGCTACAACTGGAGAGAGATGCTGCAGTACATCATGAAGCACCACAATATGGAGATGACTGGGGGCCTGGGACCCTCCGCTGGCATGGTGAGTGTGAGGGGAATGTTAAAGTTCTAGCTAATTGCCTATACATACAGTGAGGGAAAAAAGTATTTGATCCCCTGCTGATTTTGTACGTTTGCCCACTGACAAAGACATGATCAGTCTATAATTTTAATGGTAGGTTTATTTGAACAGTGAGATACAGAATAACAACAAAAAATTCCAGAAAAACGCATGTCAAAATGGTTATAAATTTATTTGCATTTTAATGAGGGAAATAAGTATTTGACCACCTCTCAATCAGAAAGATTTCTGGCTCCCAGGTGTCTTTTATACAGGTAACGAGCTGAGATTAGGAGCTTCTAGTGCTCCTAATCTCAGTTTGTTACCTGTATAAAAGACACCTGTCCACAGAAGCAATCAATCAGATTCCAAACTCTCCACCATGGCCAAGACCAAAGAGCTCTCCAAAGATGTCAGGGACAAGATTGTAGACCTACACAAGGCTGGAATGGGCTACAAGACCATCGCCAAGCAGCTTGGTGAGAAGGTGACAACAGTTGGTGCGATTATTCGCAAATGGAAGAAACACAAAATAACTGTCAATCTCCCTCGGCCTGGGGCTCCATGCAAGATCTCACCTCGTGGAGTTGCAATGATCATGAGAACGGTGAGGAATCAGCCCAGAACTACACAGGAGGATCTTGTCAATGATCTCAAGGCAGCTGGGACCATAGTCACCAAGAAAACAATTGGTAACACACTACGCCGTGAAGGACTGAAATCCTGCAGCGCCCGCAAGGTCCCCCTGCTCAAGAAAGCACATATACAGGCCCGTCTGAAGTTTGCCAATGAACATCTGAATGATTCAAAGGAGAACTGGGTGAAAGTGTTGTGGTCAGATGAGACCAAAATGGAGCTCTTTGGCATCAACTCAACTCGCCGTGTTTGGAGGAGGAGGAATGCTGCCTATGACCCCAAGAACACCATCCCCACCGTCAAACATGGAGGTGGAAACATTGTGCTTTGGGGGTGTTTTTCTGCTAAGGGGACAGGACAACTTCACCGCATCAAAGGGACGATGGACGGGGCCATGTACCATCAAATCTTGGGTGAGAACCTCCTTCCCTCAGCCAGGGCATTGAAAATGGGTCGTGGATGTGTATTCCAGCATGACAATGACCCATAACACACGGCCAAGGCAACAAAGAGTGGCTCAAGAAGAAGCACATTAAGGTCCTGGAGTGGCCTAGCCAGTCTCCAGACCTTAATCCCATAGAAAATCTGTGGAGGGAGCTGAAGGTTCGAGTTGCCAAACGTCAGCCTCGAAATCTTAATGACTTGGAGAAGATCTGCAAAGAGGAGTGGGACAAAATCCCTCCTGAGATGTGTGCAAACCTGGTGGCCAACTACAAGAAACGTCTGAACTCTGTGATTGCCAACAAGCGTTTTGCCACCAAGTACTGAGTCATGTTTTGCAGAGGGGTCAAATACTTATTTCCTTTATTAAAATGCAAATCAATTTATAACATTTTTTACATGCATTTTTCTGGATTTTTTTGTTGTTATTCTGTCTCTCACTGTTCAAATAAACCTACCATTAAAATTATAGACTGATCATGTCTGTGTCAGTGGGCAAACGTACAAAATCAGCAGGGGATCAAATACTTTTTTCCCTCACTGTAAGTACTAACATGAATCTGTTTATTAACCATTGCATTTGATATGGGAGTTGAAACCCTGTATGTAGCACAAATTGGATGGTTAGACTACCGATGTAGAGAAGAAAGCACCTTGTTTTTGTCAAGGCTGTCCCACTAAGCATTTGACATCAGGCGACATCTTTTGGACCTCTTGTTTTGGTCCTCCATCTTTTTTTGGTGCGGTCCGGACCGGCCTTGATTTCAACGTCCACAGATATCCGGAGCGGCCTATATTTGGCCCAAACATAGACATTCAGTGGCCTCCCGAGTGGTGCAGTGGTCTAAGGCACTGCATCGCAGTGCTAGCTGTGCCACTAGAGATCCTGGTTCATAGCCGGCCGCGATCTGGAGACCCATGGGACGGCGTACAATTGGCCCAGCATCATCCAGGGTAGGGGAGGGAATGGCTGGCAGGGATGTAGCTCAGTTGGTAGAGCATGGCGTTTGCAATGCCAGGGTTGTGGGTTCGATTCCCATGGGGGGCCAGTATGAAAAAAAATAAAAAAAATAATGTATGCACTCACTAACTGTAAGTCGCTCTGGATAAGAGTGTCTGCTAAATAACTAAAATGTAAAATGTTCAGATTTGGTTAGGTCCGGCCTTGATTTAGCCCAAACATAGACATCTATAATTGGTTCAGATCTGAACCAATCATAGACATTTATTTTTCACAAGTTTGGACAGCACAGAAGAGTACAGCAGAGTACAGTAAAGAAAAGTAGAGTATACTGTATTGTACCCTACTTTACTCTAACTCTACTGAACTAAACTGTACTCTACTGAATAAAACTTGACTGTCCTGTACCGTATCGTACTGTACTGTGTTCTACTGTGCTCTACTGTACTGAACTATGATGTTCAAACTTGGTGAAACATAGCCTAGACTATGATTTGCTCAGATTTTGATCAGGTCCACACCTTTGGCAGCAATTACAGCCTCAAATCCTCTTGGGTATGACGCTACAAGCTTGGCACACCTTTATTTGGGGGGTTTCTCCCATTCCTCTCTGCAGATCCTCTCAAGCTCTGTCAGGTTGGATGGGGAGCGTTGCTATTTTCAGGTCTCTCCAGAGATGTTCGATCGGGTTCAAGTCCGGGCTCTGGCTGGGCCACTCAAGGACATTCAGAGACTTGTCCCGAAGCCACTCCTGCGTTGTCTTGGCTGTGTGCTTAGGGTCGTTGTCCTGTTGGAAGGTGAACCTTTGCCCCAGTCTGAGGTCCTGAGTGCTCTGGAGCAGGTTTTCATCAAGGATCTCTCTGTATTTTGCTCCGTTCATCTTTGCCTCGATCCTGACTAGTTTCCCAGTCCCTGCTGCTGAAAAACATCCCCACAGCATGATGCTGCCACCACCATGATTCACCGTTGGGATGATGCCAGGTTTCCTCCAGACGTGACACTTGGCATTCAGGCCAAAGAGTTCAATCTTGGTTTCATCAGACCAGAGAATCTTGTTTCTCATGGTCAGAGTCTTTAGGTGACTTTTTTTCAAACTCCAAGCAGGCTGTCATGTGCCTTTTACTGAGGAGTGGCTTCCGTCTGGCCACTCTACCGTAAAGGCCTGAAAGGTGGAGTGCTGCAGAGATGATTGTCCTTCTGGAAAGTTCTCCCATCTCCACAGAGGACCTCTGGAGATCTGTCAGAGTGACCATCGGGTTCTTGGTCACCTCCCTGACCAAGGCCCTTCTCCCCCGATTGCTCAGTTTGGCCAGCCGGCCAGCTCTAGGAAGAGTCTTGGTGGTTCCAAACTTCTTCCATTTAAGAATGATGGAGGCCACTGTGTTCTTGGGGACCTTCAATGCTGCAGACATTTTTTGGTATCCTTCCCCAGATCTGTGCCTCGACACAATCCTGTCTCGGCGCTCCATGGACAATTCCTTCGACCTCATGGCTTGGTTTTTGCTCTGACATGCACTGTCAACTGTGGGACCTTATATAGACAGGTGTGTGCCTTTCCAAAACATGTCCAATCAATTGAATTTACCACAGGTGGACTCCAATCAAGTTGTAGAAACATCTCAACGATTATCAATGGAAACAGGATTCACCTGAACTCAATTTCGAGTCAGTAAATTTGCAAACATTTCTAAAAGCCTGTTTTTGCTTTGTCATTATGGGGTATTGTGTGTACATTGCTGATATTTTTTAAAATATTTTATCAATTTTAGAATAAGGCTGTAACGTAACAAAATGCGGTAAATGTCAAGGGGTCTGAATGCTTTCCGAAGACACCGTACAGTCAGTGCATTCAACTAAGACAGAGAAACAACAACATTTCACAGTCATAGCAACCGTTACTCAGAATGTTATTGTAGATGAAGTGGTCAGTTATTTCATTCTGTATGTTGGACTATTTTGAACATTATCGCTGCTAGTTTTAAAGCTTTTGAAAAAGCTAACATAAGTGCATGTGATAGATAGGAGCAATAATACATACACTATATATACAAAAGCATGTGGACACCCCTTCAAATTAGTGGATTCGGCTATTTCAGCCACACCCGTTGCTGACAGATGTATAAAATCGAGCACACAGCCATGCAATCTCCATAGACAAACATTGGTAGTAGAATGGCCTTACTGACGAGCTCAGTGACTTTCAACCTTTCCAACAAGTCAGTTCGTCAAATTTCTGCCCTGCTAGGGTTGCCCCGGTCAACTGTAAGTGCTGTTATTGTGAAGTGGAAACGTCTAGGAGCAACAACGGCTCAGCCGCGAAGTGGTAGGTCACACATCTCACAGAACGGGACCGCCGAGTGCTGAAGCACGAAGCGCATAAAAATCGTCTGTCCTCGGTTGCAACACTCCCTACCGAGTTCCAAACTGCCTCTGGAAGCATCGTCAGCACAATAACTGTTTGTCGGGAGCTTCATGAAATGGGTTTCCATGGCCGAGGGAAGGCCCTTTCCTGTTTCAGCATGACAATGCCCCCATGCACAAAGCGAGGTCCATACAGAAATGGTTTGTCGAGATCGGTGTGGATGAACTTGACTGGCCTGCACAGAGCCTGACCTCAACCCCATCGAACACCTTTGGGATGAATTGGAACTCCGACTGAGAGCCAGGCCTAATCGGCCAACATCAGTGCCTGACCTCACTAATGCTCGTGGCTGAATGGAAGCAAGTCCCTGCAGCAATGTTCCAACATCTAGTGGAAAGCTTTACCAAAATAGTGGAGGCTGTTATAGCAGCAAAGGGGGGAGCAACTCCATATTAATGCCCATGATTTTGGAATGAGATGTTCGACAAGCAGGTGTCCACATAATTTTGGTACTGTAGTGTATCTTGTTGCAATCTTCCGTTGGCTGCTTTTTAAATTTATTTTTATTAAGAGGTGTGATAAACTATTATTGTGATACATACTTAATTGACAATGTATAGCAGTTGAAATTTGGCCATAGAATCAATGACTGAAAAACACATTTTCAATGTCTGTAAATGACATATTTTCAACGTCCGGAAAATATGTATTTTTCCCTTTCATTCAGCACCTAAAATGCACCTGATTTCAACGTCTAGAAAATATGTGCTTTTGACGTCCGTATAAGACATATTTTCAACGTTATTTTGCTTACTGGGGTGTCTTGAGCAATTATTTTAAGGTTGTATTTCTCATGTGAGCTCTCTCAGTGATGTGTCCACCATTTTGTTTCACCCCAGGTGATACGCGTGGGTCTGATGGGATACAACTGCCAGAAGACCAATGCAGACATGGCACTGGCTGCCCTGGCCGATGCTTTGAAGAACTGCAAAAAGAGCAAAGCATAAAGAAGGTTTCTTATGCCTTTTAATACCCTAAACAAACATGCATTTGGCTATGCTGGAGGACACCTGGAATGAATGGACAAAGGCGTCAATCTGTGAAAGTTGTATCACGGGTGTTTGTGAGCACAGAGATTTTAAGCACAAATGTGAAAAGACAGATTCCGACATACATTCACGTGAAACTAATTTCCTAATAGAGACTTTGTAATTATTGTAGATGGTAAATGCTCTCCAGGGTAATAATATAAAATATATGTTTGAAAGAGTCAATAAAATATATACAATTCTGTCAAATGTGTCCATTTTACCTTGCATATTCAGGAAATAATAATAATAATAATAATTGCAGGCGCAGATGCTCTGATTTTAACACAATTTGGAGCACAGTTGAGAAAATAACATATTGACTAAACAATGGACTAATTAGAAAAATAAAAGCAGTATTCTTCAATGTGTGAGATATGAGGTGTGTCGTGAGAAGAGGGTCAAATGCATGCGTCTCATGGCCAATACAGGAGAGTAACATACCTAGTGAAACAGGTGATATGTTGTTTTTTCTTATTTATTTGAATGTTTTGTGTGCGTGTTCAGTACTGTCTAAAGCCCTTAATTAAATGCTACCATAATCGATGTGTGTCCTTCCCACAAAGGCTGTATTGAACCCCAACAGATCAGTTGAATAAAAACAAATGTAACAATTAAAATGATCTAATTGTGACGATTTTACACCATTATCTCGATAGTGTTAAGTTTATTCTACTTATAAAAGCTTAATATTAAAGGCCCAGTGTAGTCAAGAATTTGATTTTCCTGTGTTTTATATACAGTGCATTCGGAAAGTATTCAGACCCCTTGACCTTTTCCACATTTTGTTACATTACAGCCTTATTCTAAAATTAGTTTTTTTTCCTCAGTCTACACACAATACCCCATAATGACTAAACAAAAACAGGTTTTTATACATTTTTGCAAATGAATTACAAATAAAAAACAGAAATACCTTATTTACATAAGTATTCAGATCCTTTGCTATGAGACTCGAAATTGAGCTCAGGTGCATCCTGTTTCCATTGATCATCCTTGAGATGTTTCTACAACTTTATTGGAGTCCACCTGTGGTAAATTCAATTGATTGGACATGATTTGGAATGTCACACACCTGTCTAGATAAAGTTCCACCGTTGACAGCGCATGTCAGAGCAAAAACCAAGCCATGAGGTTGAAGGAATTGTCCGTAGAGCTCGGAGACAGGATTGTGTCGAGGCACAGATCTGGGGAAGGGTACAAAAAAATGTCTGCAGCATTGAAGGTCCCCAAGAACACAGTGGCCTCCATCATTCTTAATCGGAAGAAGTTTGGAGCCACCAAGACTCTACCTAGAGCTGTAGCACTCCACCAATCAGGCCTTTATGTTAGAGTGGCCAGACGGAAGCCACTCCTCAGTAAAAGGCACGAGTGCCCGCTTGGAATTTGCCAAAAGGCACCTAAAGACTCTCATGAGAAACAAGATTCTCTGGTCTGATGAAACCAAGATTGAACACTTTGGCCTGAATGCCAAGCGTCACATCTGGAGGAAACCTGGCACCATCCCTACGGTGAAGCATGGTGGTGGCAGCATCATGCTGTGGAGATATTTTTTAGAGGCAGGGACTGGGAGACTAGTCAGAATCGAGGGAAAGATTAAAGTAGCAAAGTACAGAGAGATCCTTGATGAAAACCTGCTCCAGAGTGCTCAGGACCTCAGACTGGGGTGAAGGTTCACATGTTCACCTTCCAACAGGACAACGACCCGAAACACATAGCCAAGACAACTCAGGAGTGGCTTTGGGACAAGTCTCTGAATGTCCTTGAGTGGCCCAGCCAGAGCCCGGACTTGAACCCAATCTAACATCTCTGGAGAGACCTGAAAATAGCTGTGCTGCGACGCTCCCCACCGAACGTGACAGAGCTTGAGATGATCTGCAGAGAAGAATGTGAGAAACTCCCTAAATACAGGTGTGCCAAGCTTTTAGCGTCATACCCAAGAAGACTCGAGGCTGTAATCGCTGCCAAAGGAGCTTCAACAAAGTAATGAGTAAAGGGTCTGAATACTTATGTAAATGTGATATTTCCGGGGGTTTTTTTGCACAAATTTAAATAAACCAGTTTTTGTTTTGTCATTATGGGCTATTGTGTGTAGATTGATGAGGGGGAAAAAAACAATTTCATCAATTTTAGAATAAGGTTGTAACGTAACAAAATGTGGAAAAAGTGAAGGGGTCTGAATACTTTCCAAATGCAAATATTTCGCTACTGTTGGAATAACACTGTGAAATTTAGAAAATTATGACATTGCCCTTTTTTTTGCGTAAGAGCTGTTTGAAAAGACTGCCTGAAATGTCAGCCTTTTTGGGTGGGATGGAGTTTTGGCCTGCCTGGTGTAATCACCAGGTGGTAAATTAGTTAATAGACCAATAAGAGTTCCAAACCTCTCTGCCAATAACAACTAGTTTTCCCCTCCCAACTCAGACCACTACCAGACAGTCCTAGCAACATTTTTGCTTGAGAAATTGCTCTTTGCTAAGAAGCTATTTTTGTTTCATTTTGACCATAGGCATCATTCTGTCTTTTGTAATCAACGGTACAAATTGATGGGTACAACTGGGGTGTATTCATTAGTGCACACCGTAGCAAAACATTTTGCAACAAAGTGTTTCTTATTGGACAAATGCAAGGTAGATCCCTCCCCATTTCTGCCCGTTGCTTCCTAGCAGGGACGGCTTGTTCAATAGGGCGATATGGGCGACGCACTGCCAAACGGGAAAAGGAAGGGATTTTTTTTCTAATCAATTATATCACGGCAACAGCAGTTATCAGTGTTCACGTCTGATCTGCCAGCCACTAAATGTCAAATCAGGCTAAAGTCGTGCTTCAAATGGCCCCGCCCGTTTTTGGGGCGATTTCAGTCAAGTTGAAAATCGCCCAGAAGTCTCTCATAGCCTGTCATGTAAAATCTATTTTTTTCACATTTCAAAGCTTTCAATACATTCTCTATGGGTGTCTGTGGGCTTGCACTTACGCGCTTTCGTCATACGTGACGTAACGTTGAACGTAACTAAGACAATGGCGGCTAGAAGCGTCTCTGTTGCGACCTGCAGTGCGGCGTTATTTTATGTTTTTAATTTGTAGACTTAGTTTACAAACATTCTGCCAACCATGGATTTCCAGTGGTTGGTTTTGGACTGATCTTGTTGATCGTGTACATACCCGCTACGAACGGACTAAATAATGAAAACGCTGCTGGCAGCTGAATCCCAATACAGCTGGGAGACTTGGCTGGATGAGTCCCGGACAGAGAAGTGGAGCCGGCCACCTTCACCCTGGTCAGAGCGGACCGCGATCCTGGTAAGAGAGCGACTCTGTACCCCGACATTGAACTGCTTTCTGTGTCATTGCGACCTTACTATCAATTCAATTCAATTTAAGGGCTTTATTGGCATGGGAAACGTGTGTTAACATTGCCAAAGCAAGGGAAGTAGATAGTAAACAAAAGTGAAATAAACAATAAATATTAACAGTAAACATTACACTCAGAAGTTTCAAAAGAATAAAGACATTTCAAATGTCATATTATGTATATATACAGTGTTGTTACAATGTGCAAATAGTTAAAGTACAAATGGGAAAATAAATAAACATAAATATGGGTTGTATTTACAATGGTGTTTGTTCTTCACTGGTTGCCCTTTTCTTGTGGCAACAGGTCACAAATCTTGCAGCTGTGATGGCACACTGTGGTTTTTCACCCAGTAGATAAGGGAGTTTATCAAAATTGGGTTTGTTTTCGAATTCTTTGTGGATCGCTGTAATCTGAGGGAAATATGTGTCTCTAATATGGTCATACATTTGGCAGGAGGTTAGGAAGTGCAGCTCAGTTTCCACCTCATTTTGTGGGCAGTGTGCACATAGCCTGTCTTCTCTTGAGAGCCAGGTCTGCCTACGGCGGCCTTTCTCAATAGCAAGGCTATGGTCACTGAGTCTGTACATAGTCAAAGCTTTCATTAAGTTTGGGTCAGTCACAGTGGTCAGGTATTCTGCCACTGTGTACTCTCTGTTTAGGGCCAAATAGCATTCTAGTTTGCTCTGTTTTTTTGTTTGTTCTTTCCAATGTGTCAAGTAATTCTCTTTTTGTTTTCTCATGATTTGGTTGGGTCTAATTGTGTTGTTGTTGTTGTTGTTGTTGTTGTCCTGGGGCTGTGTGGGGTCTGTTTGTGTTTGTGAACAGAGGCCCAGGACAAGCTTACTTAGGGGACTCTTCTCCAAGTTCATCTCTCTGTAGGTGATGGCTTTGTTATGGAAGGTTTGGGAATCGCTTCCTTTTAAGTGGTTACTATCTGCCCCGTGAGTTCCCCCAATTGTTTGTTACCGTTGTGTACTGTTGATAATCACAAGTTTACTGGAGAACTGAGACCAAGTAGAGACTTTGGACAGGGTGGATATGGTATAATAAAGGCAGTTTATTCAGAGGTAAAGATATCTGGAATCGCGTGCACGGACTCGTGCACGTGTGTAGGTCACCTAAATCATCAGAAAAATTGCCCCTCCTGAGAATTTTTTCAGGAGCCGCCACTGCTTCCTAGTGAATACACCCTTGAGATCAACAGCACTGTACAGTGTGGACAAAGCCTGGATAGACTATTGCATCCCATCACAACATAGTAGTAACTCATCATACATTTAATATGTCCTCCACAGTGGTGCAGCAAAAAGCATCAGATTATTGTCCATAGAACAGATGCTATCACTTTGTCAATTTCTTCAGTGTAAAGTCCCAGAGATTATATTCTTTAATTATCATCAGACTGGATCTTACTCCAACATGGTAGCGGAAACTACATTACAACACTGAAAGATACATGGTTCTGTACAAGTACTTTGAACAGAAGTTGATCATCTGAATTGAAGATACAGTGGGGGAAATAAGTATTTAGTCAGCCACCAATTGTGCAAGTTCTCCCACTTAAAAAGATGAGAGAGGCCTGTAATTTTCATCATAGGTACACGTCAACTATGACAGACAAAATGAGAAGAAAAAAATCCAGAAAATCACATTGTAGGATTTTTAATGAATTTATTTGCAAATTATGGTGGAAAATAAGTATTTGGTCAATAACAAAAGTTTCTCAATACTTTGTCATATACCCTTTGTTGGCAATGACACAGGTCAAACGTTTTCTGTAAGTCTTCACAAGGTTTTCACACACTGTTGCTGGTATTTTGGCCCATTCCTCCATGCAGATCTCCTCTAGAGCAATGATGTTTTGGGGCTGTCGCTGGGCAACACAGACTTTCAACTCCCTCCAAAGATTTTCTATGGGGTTGAGATCTGGAGACTGGCTAGGCCACTCCAGGACCTTGAAATGCTTCTTACGAAGCCACTCCTTCGTTGCCCGGGTGGTGTGTTTGGGATCATTGTCATGCTGAAAGACCCAGCCACGTTTCATCTTCAATGCCCTTGCTGATGGAAGGAGGTTTTCACTCAAAATCTCACGATACATGGCCCCATTCATTCTTTCCTTTACACGGATCAGTCGTCCTGGTCCCTTTGCAGAAAAACAGCCCCAAAGCATGATGTTTCCACCCCCATGCTTCACAGTAGGTATGGTGTTCTTTGGATGCAACTCAGCATTCTTTGTCCTCCAAACACGACGAGTTGAGTTTTTACCAGAAAGTTCTATTTTGGTTTCATCTGACTATATGACATTCTCCCAATCCTCTTTTGGATCATCCAAATGCACTCTAGCAAACTTCAGACGGGCCTGGACATGTACTGGCTTAAGCAGGGGGACACGTCTGACACTGCAGGATTTGAGTCCCTGGCGGCGTAGTGTGTTACTGATGGTAGGCTTTGTTACTTTGGTCCCAGCTCTCTGCAGGTCATTCACTAGGTCCCCCCGTATGGTTCTGGGATTTTTGCTCACCGTTCTTGTGATCATTTTGACCCCACGGGGTGAGATCTTGCGTGGAGCCCCAGATCGAGGGAGATTATCAGTGGCCTTGTATGTCTTCCATTTCCTAATAATTGCTCCCACAGTTGATTTCTTCAAACCAAGCTGCTTACCTATTGCAGAATCAGTCTTCCCAGCCTGGTGCAGGTCTACAATTTTGTTTCTGGTGTCCTTTGACAGCTCTTTGGTCTTGGCCATAGTGGAGTTTGGAGTGTGACTGTTTGAGGTTGTGGACAGGTGTATTTTATACTGATAACAAGTTCAAACAGGTGCCATTAATACAGGTAACGAGTGGAGGACAGAGGAGCCTCTTAAAGAAGAAGTTACAGGTCTGTGAGAGCCAGAAATCTTGCTTGTTTGTAGGTGACCAAATACTTATTTTCCACCATAATTTGCAAATAAATTCATTAAAAATCCTACAATGTGATTTTCTGGATTTCTTTTTCCCAATTTGTCTGTCATAGTTGACGTGTACCTATGATGAAAATTACAGGCCTCTCTCATCTTTTTAAGTGGGAGAACTTGCACAATTGGTGGCTGACTAAATACTTTTTTCCCCCACTGTATGTGTATATGAAATTGACTGTGACTACACTTTGGATAATCTCCCATGGACAGGAAGTGACAACGTGGGCGAGAACTCTACTTCTGGGTACCTGAGATTACTCTTTGGAAGAAGAGCAGTCATTGTTTATTAAATTGTTGATGATTATACAAAATGTGATACTTGTACACTGCATGAAGGAGAGTCACTGTTTAGATAGCCATCACCAATCTTAAGAAAATGGGTTCCATCAAAAAGTTAGCAGATGTCTGCTGTGCCTTCAAATCAAATCAAATGTTTTTTGTCACATGCGCCGAATACAACAGGTGTAGACCTTACAGTGAAATGCTTACTTACAAGCCCTTAACCAACAATGCAGTTTTAAGAAAATAAAAAAATGTGTTAAGTAAAAAATAGATAAGTAAAAAATTAAAATAGCAAATAAGTAAAGAGCAGCAGTAAAATAAAATAACAGCAGGTACAGAGTCAATGTGCGGGGGCACCGGTTAGTCGAGGAAAAAGTAGGATAACCTTGATCTTAGGTCGTCCAATTTAATTTCAAATGATTGAACGTTGGCTAATTAGATTGATGGAAGAGGCAGTTTACTCGCTCGCCGTCAGATCCTTACAAGGCACCCCGACCTACATCCACGATATCTCTGTCTCTTTCTCATGCGAATGACGGGGATTTGGGCCTTGTCGGGTGTCTGTAGAATATCCTTCGCGTCCGACTCGTTGAAGAAAAAAATCTTTGTCCAATACGAAGTGAGTAATCGCTGTCCTGATATCCAGAAGCTCTTTTTGGTCATAAGAGACAGTGGCAGAAACATTATGTACAGAGTAAATGACAAATAACGCGAAAAAACACACATAATAGTACAATTGGTTAGAGGGCCGTAAAACGGCAGCAATCTCCTCCGGCTCTTGTCCGTTCAACCTTAGTTCTTCTCCCAATTCCTTCATGGCTCCTTCATAATGTAGATGTACAGTGTTGACAGAAAGTGCTTGCAGGATTCGGCAACGGGAGACAGCCAATGGGTCTGAGGAACGGCATCTAACTTCACCACACATTTCTTAATGTCCGTCTGGAAAAAGACAAAAAGGTCACATTGGAAATACCACAGTTAGAAACTTTAAGGACACACTTTTCCCACATATCATCATTTCCTCAAATCCTTGCTTCCTCTATCCTTGCCTCCTTCTCAAAACACATTGGAAGAGAAGATTGGAGGGAAGGAACCTTGGATCTTCTCTTAAGAGTTGAGAAGGAGGATGTAAGGAATCAAGGAAAGACAATTGGTCCTCTGTAGCTCAGCTGGTAGAGCACGGCGCTTGTAACGCCAAGGTAGTGGGTTCGATCCCCGGGACCACCCATACACAAAAAATAATAATGTATGCACGCATGACTGTAAATCGCTTTGGATAAAAGCGTCTGCTAAATGGCATATTATATTATTGAAGAAGGCAAAAATCGCTGGTAATGTGTTGCCCATGTGCTTCCCCTGAAAACCACTAGAGGGCAGCATAGGGAAACTACTCAAATCAATTACCTTCAAAAAAACGATATGGCACCAGAAAGGAAGCGGTGAAGCGAGAGGTTTCACCCTCTCCAAACTCGGTCCAAAATTAGCCCTATGGGCCCGCCTTCCCGCCTTTGGGACAACGTCTCCCATTTTTCAGGTGGAGACATGAGCATCTCGTCATTATATACAGATATCTGATGGAGGGGAGGACACTAGCTGTCGCCATTGGCGTCGGCTAATGGGGATCCTAATAAACCAAATCAAAATCCAGAATGCGGCTTTAATAATCTTCCTTTTACTTAAACCACAACTATGTGGTAGTTACAAAACAAAAAACTGGCCCTTGGTCAGCAACAATAGTCCAGCAACAATAACAGTCCAGTCACTCACCCATCCTCCACGTTTCTTCAGCCAAGGGGCCAAATTCTTGCGGACAAACTGACCCAGACTGTCCACTATGGTTTGGACCGTAGCAGGCTGGTTCTGACGTACACTGTCCACCGCCAGAGCCCCGGCCACAGCATACATAGATACCACCTTCCCCCATGTGATGCCTATGGACAGGAGAGAGAGAATCACAGCTTAGTTGGCTGATTGTGGTGTAGTGGATCTTGATGCTTCATACTTTTTATTGCAATACTACAGCATCAACATTAATGAAAAGTACATAGCTAATATCAAAACAGTAGACTCCTAATAAGTGTGCATTGTAGTTCACCAGTCCCAATTAAAAAACATTATTTGTGACTTCAGGAAACTAGGCATATATCGTGCGTCACTACTTCACAGGAGAGGCATTTGAAGGTAAACATTATTTTTTTTATTAAAATGCGCTTTTGGGCAGAAATGCCTTCTGGAACATGTGAACTTTCATGTGCCTTAATAACAAACTCCTATGCCATCTGTAAATACGAATCAAATTGTTAAATTACGAGCCTAGTTGGTTTAGCCACGGAAAAAGACAGGAATCTTCCCGCTAGCCATGATTGGCTGAGATAATGGTTGGACTGGACATGCCGAGAGAGGAGAGAGGATTGGTCTGCCATGCACAGTGCAGTCGGAAAGTATTCAGACCCCTTGACATTTTCCACATTTTGTTAAAGCCTTATTCTAAAATGGATTAAATTTAAAAAATCCTTAGCAATCTACACAGAATACCCCATAATGACAATGTGAAAACAGGTTTTTTAAAATTTTTGCACATTTATTACAAATAAAAAACAGAAATACCTTATTTAGATTAGTATTCAGACCCTTTGTTATGAGACTTGAAATTGAGCTCAGGTGCATCCTGTTTCCATTGACCATCCTTGAGATGTTTACTCAACTTGGAGTCCACCTGTGGTCAATTCAATTGATTGGACATGATTTGGAAAGGCACACACCTGTCTATATAAAGTCCCACAGTTGACAGTGCATGTCAGAACAAAAACCAAGCCATGAGGTTGAAGGAATTGTCTATAGAGCTCTGAGACAGAATTGTGGCGAGGCACAGATCTGGGGTAGGGTACCTAAACACTTCTGCAGCATTGAAGGTCCCCAAGAACACAGTGGCCTCCATCATTCATAAATGGAAGAAGTTTGGAACCACTAAGACTCTTCCTAGTGCTGGCCGCCCGGCCAAACTGAGCGATCGGGGAGAAGGTCCTTGGTCAGGGAGGTGACCAAGAACCCAATGGTCACTCTGACAGAGTTCCAGAGTTCCTCTGTGGAGATGGGAGAACCTTCCAGAAGGACAACCATATCTGTAGCACTCCACCAATATGGCCTTTATGGTAGAGTGGCCAGAGGGAAGCCACTCCTCAGTAAAAGGCACAGGACAGCCCACTTGGAGTTTGCCAAAAAGCACCTAAAGGACTGAGACCATGAGAAACAAGATTCTCTGGTCTGATGAAACCAAGATTGAACTCTTTGGCCTGAATGCCAAACGTCACGTCTGGAGGAAACCTGGCACCATCCCTACGGTGAAGCATGGTGGTAGCAGCATCATGCTGTGGGGATGTTTTTCAGCGGCAGGGACTGGGAAACTAGTCAGGATTGAGGGAAAGATGAACGGAGCAAAGTACAGAGAGATCCTTGATGAAAACCTGCTCCACAGCGCTCAGGACCTCAGACTGGGGTGAAGGTTTACCTTCCAACAGGACAATGACCCTAAGCACACAGCCAAGACAACATAGGAGTGGCTTAAGGACAAGTCTCTGAATGTCCTTGAGTGGCCCAGTCAGAGCCCGGACTTGAACCCGATCGAACATCTCTGGAGAGACCTGAAAATAGCTGAGAAGCGACACTCCCCATCCAACCTGCCAGAGCTTGAGAGGATCTGCAGAGAAGAATGTGTGAAACCCCCCAAATACAGGTGTGCCAAGCTTGTAGCATCATACCCAAAAAGACTCAAAGCTGTAATCGCTGCCAAAAGGTGCTTCAACAAAGTACTGAGTAAGCATCTGAATACTTATGTAAAGGTGATATTTTTATATGTCAGTTTGTTATTTCTTATAAATTTGCAAAAATTTCTAAAAACCTGTTTTTGCTTTTTCAATATGGGGTATTGTGTGTAGATTGAGGGGAAAACAACTATTTAATTCATTTTAGAATAAGGCTGTAACGTAACAAAATGTGGAAAAAGTCAAGGGGTCTGAATACTTTCCGAATGCACTGTAGCACGCTTCTGACTATAACATGAGCTGCTCAGTATGTGTAGGTAATCCCTTCTAACGCGTCTTTTTAAAAGATATCACAAACAACTGCAAAAGTGTTGCTTTCCACTTTCTGGAGGACTGAGTTTTGAAATCAAAATACTAAATTCATTTTTAAACAGATGGGTTTATTGGTGTTAAAATACTATTTTGGACCACCAGGCTGCTGATGTCATGCAGCTTGTAGTTTTTGTGTTTATACTTTTTCATAACGACAAGTTTGATGTCGGACGACAATAGAATGTTCATGATGTCACTGCGACAAATGTCTACAGACATGTCGATAGACGTAGTATAAACCAGCCTTTAGTCTTGAAATCTTTGGTTGTTTAGTACACTACCGTACTCAATCTGTTTAGCACATGGCCTCACATGTAAATCCTTAAAGAGATGGGGGCTAAGGCTTAAGAGGGTGTGAAAGATACTAAATGGGTGCAGACAAAGAAGAGCTCTCCAGTAGGTGTACCAAAACATTCAAGGGCCATTTTCTCAAAAGTGGGGTTACAAGTTTGTCAACTTTCAAAGCAGAATTACTCTCCTATTGTTCGTCTCTAGTGTATAATATCCAATTTTCTAGCTCTGAGTCTCTACTTTTATGCAATGTAAAAAAAACACGATTTCAAATGTTGTTACATAAAACTGAAATCAAGCTGGTCGGTCACATCTGCATACTGCCGAAAGGTAACTGCCGAAATAAAGGAAACACTAGAGTAAAAGAGGGATACAAAGTATATTGAAAGCAGGTGCTTCCACACAAGTGTTGTTCCTGAATTAATTAAGCAATTAACATCCCATCATGCTTAAGGTAATGTACAAAAATGCCCAGTTGCCCATTATTTTGGCTACCATGGCTAGAATACGTTCTCTCAGTGAATGTGAAATAGGGGTCTCAAAAGGAGCATTGGGGGTTTAAATAAAGTGTGTGTGTCACACCAGATCGCAACCCAAATGAACACTTGTGGGAGATTCTGGAGCGGTGCCTGGGACAGGGTTTTCCACCACCATCAACAAAATCACCAAATGATGGAATTCCTCGTGGAAGAATGGTGTTGCATTCCTCAAATAGAGTTCCAGACACTGATTGAATCTATGCCAAGGCGCATTAAAGCTGTTCTGGCGGCCCAGTGTTTCCAGTTCTCAGAAATGCGAGTAAAATAGTTTTCCATCCCAAAAATGGTAATTAAGTATTTAAAAAGCAGCTTTTCTGTGTTGGAATGATGTGTGCGTACCCCAACAACAGAATGGTGTGGGCGTATATCGGTCGTTAAAAATAATCACGCAAGTAGACCGCTGATTGGCCAACTCATCCTCCTCATGGAGATGACATCATGTTCTATGAGGAAATAGCACGCATTTTTGAAACGATCTGTTTGAGATACAAGTTTGAGGTGGATTTTTTAAGTCGTTTTTTCTCCAATTTGTAGCCAAAGCATAAATATGAGTATAGAATGAGTCAACAACATTATTTGGTATGAGTTAACAGAATATTAACTTTTAAAAGTGAGACTTGCACTGGGCAGTTACTTTAAGACACTTTATGTTGGTGTTTCCTTTAATTTGGCAGATACCTATATCCACACGCTCCAGAGTAGTGCACATATGCAGTCCCAAGACACTGCATACTTCAGAAGTCAACTGTACAGTAAAGCCAATAGAGAGAAAGAGCAAGTGATGGTTGCGATCGCATCAGAGCTTCACATCAAAGAGGCGGTCATTAGATTCCTAGTAAACCCGTTTGGGTGTCAGCCTTGTTATGGCTGTGATGCAACAGGAAGGCTAATGACATTAGCCTCCTTTAAGCTGTTTTGTTCGCCTGAACTGACTGACCTGTGGCTTGGCTTTAGGGATTTAGAGACCCCAGGGAAGGTTTAAATAAGGTAACTCCCTCTGGGACAGGACTGTCCTCACAATGTCTTAACTCCCTACAGAGATCTGTCCCTGACGTGAGACGACACATCCCAGAATAGAGAGAAGACTGTCAGCAAGCTTGGTTGGTGCACTTGGCAGGAAGTGGAAAAGAGGAAAGGTTAAAGGGAAATTTCACAGCTGCTCTTTTTTTTTTTCATTTTACCTTTATTTAACTAGGCAAGTCAGTTAAGAACAAATTCTTATTTACAATGACGGCCTACCCCGGCCAAACCCGGACGACGCTGGGCCAATTATACGCCACCCTATGGGACTCCCAATCACGGCCGGATTGTGATACAGCCTGGAATCGAACCAGGGTCTGTAGTGACGCCTCTAGCACTGAAATGCAGTGCCTTAGACCACTGCGCCACTCGGGAGTCTTTAACTGTATCTGTCCATTAATATATAATATGGGTCATACAAATCGAGAACGGTAGAAAAACAGGCTATCTACATTTCCTGGTTGTAAGCAAACCACAATATCCAGAATTCATAGCGATTTCAGGATGCCTTCGAGGGTGGGAACACAATTGGACAAGGAAGTATGGCTCCTGTCAGGCTGTAGTCTTTACACAGCCAGGGAAAATGAGTCACCCTAGATATCCTGCAATGTCCTGGCAGATAGGAACGTTGTTAAGTCCAATGGCTCTATTGAACAAGGACAACCATATCTACTCATACTAGTGTGTGCAATCGGCGAAACACAAAGGCCACAATAATTGCTACAAAACATGACTCCATTCATTTTTAGATCAGACAGCAGGCTCAATCAAACAATGACATCATTGGTTCAACTCTCCAGGCACTAATTTTAAAAAATACCACTGTTGTGCATAATTATGTCTTAAACACCTCTCATCAATCAGAATTATGTAGGGGGACAGGGAAAACACCCCAAATAGTGTCTAGCGGTGAATTTTCTCTTTAAGCGAAAAGTCTAGGCATGGTGCTTCCTCATCAAATGTAATCAAATGTAGAAACCAATGTCATATAGTGGTGTATAGCTGGAAGTTGGAACCCTTAGTTTCAAGAGTTTTTGAAGCACAATTCATGATCAAAGTTGTGATTTTTCTTAGTGCAGCATTTGATTGACATAAAATCATTTTTCAATATTCTCTATTGCAATCATCACACGTAAAGAATCTCGCTTATCTTTTCAGTCAGATAAATATACAGCTGTTGAACCCCACATCCCAAAAGGCCAACATTGCCTGGGTCAGTGGTTTGTTTGTCTCTCTGGAGTAATCCCACGGTGTTCCAAAAATGCCCCTGGTGACGTCAAAACAGTCACAGATCAGCCAGAATGCTAGCTCGAAAAATGTTTGAAAATGAGGCTATTTTTATCTTTACAGAGTTTGAGAGACTTATTATTCATGCAGCCCAGGGGTCCCATACTGTATTGTAGCAGTAATTCATGTGTGACATTGAATTACTTTTTCTCTCTTTAAATCATGCCAGAGTGGCAAGTCCCAAAGCAGAAACTGTGTGTACTAGTGATGTTTTTGTCAAAGTTTCAACTTGTCTATGTCAAGTAAACAGACAAAGATGTACAGTGGGATGCATTTACACAGCAGAGACTGTATGTACCAGTGACGGAATAGAATAGTTGTTCCAGACGCTCAATGTTCTCGTGTGTTTCAAAGTTACATCAACGTAGACGAACAAAGAGGGGACGTGGGTATGTGTGTTTTTTGGTACATGTTCAGGATTTTGACCTGGACTGTCAGATGATAACCCTGTTCTGCCTTTAGGGAGTACAAAATCTCATACTTATGGTAAATGATGCTACTGTGTGAAAAATATATCACAAAACCAATGTTTATCAAAGTGTTACAAGTAGCAATAGTTTCAAATGATCAGACATCTTGTAGCCCTGTCCCAAAACACACATTCCTCAAAGCTCATGTAGGATTGCTTTACCCCCTCTAAGCACAAACACATAGGGTTGAACCTCAATTTAAGATATGTTCCCAACCCTTGGGACTTTGGAGTTAATCATGCATGTCAAATGTATGAAAATTCCTGTTATGTGTGCTGATTCTTAAAGGGCTTATACAACATCAACCTCCTAAATCCCCACATCTGGTCCCCCTTCCCTTGCAGCTGTTCACCTGCAGAAAATATCTCTGTTGCCACGGCAACAAAGGCATCAGACACTGTGGTCTCCATGGCCACTGAGATGTTGAGCTGTCTCGCCACGTTCCGGTAGACACTCGGCCGCATGCACTCCAGCTCATCACCTAGGAAAACCAGGAGAGACCACAAGGCTGAACAATTAGAAACAGGATAGCACTGAGAAAGCACAACAAGTCTATCTACCCAATTAATAACATAATGACATAGTGACTTAATTGAAACAATCATTGAAGCACAGGAGCATTAGGAAAACCAGACAGGTCAGAGAAACTATGCCATAGGTCAGTTGTTCCCAAACTTTTTGACTCTGTGTCCAAGCTTTTAGAGATTTGTTGTGATAATCAAAGTAAACAAATGCATTCTTGGCCATCACCCAACCCAAGCTGAACAAATCAGCCAAAGCCAATAACCCACCAGTGTCCAGACATGTCCTGCACCACCCTTTGGTAAATGTAGATGACCACATTACCTCAATATTTACATTACTCTTCAAATCTTGCATGTAGGCCTGAGGGGCATGTAGTGGCATCTCACCTGCCTTAGTTAGCCTACCAAACTGAACAATGCAGTAGCTTGATTGCCCTCAACTCGGACTGTCAGACACTTTTGATACCTATCAAGGTCATGCATGTGGAGGACAAAACCAGTACAGCGTGTACAATCTATTCAGGGACCATAGGGATTCTCAAGGGAAACACTGCTCCAAAGTACTGACCTATACTGTAAATGCTAGATTTGAAGACAAGTGGTTCACATGCATTCAAGCAGGATTTTTTGTTACATTAAGTTTCACATGTAACAGTTTGCAGCAGGTTCTTACCAAGACAGAGAAGCACAGCAGACACCTCACAAAGCGTTGAGTCCACCTGAGTTTTGGACGAGCCCAGTCCATAGAGGTTGAGCCTAGAGTGTATGTAGTCCCTACACAGTGCCTTGGACTGGGACACCAGTTCTTTGTCGGACGGGGAATGGTCAAAGGCCTCCATCACCCCGGCTGCAAACACAGAGGAGCGACGAATCACCTCCATCTGCCAAGCAGGATTCTGATCTGCAAAAACCTGATCACTTCAGTGTATCAGTGCCTGTGTGATTCTTCTCAGCGGGAGCCACAACAATGAACTAAATCTCCAATCTGTTGAGAAAGTCATAAATGTTTTTTATTTATCAAAATAAATATTTTTTTGTGAATATATGAAACAATGAAAATTGGTAAAAATAAATTATTTAATATCATACACCACTTTCTTATGTAACTTCAAGTAGGTTGTATGATTGATAAACTTGCCATAGCCCAAATTTAGACACCTTTATTAATAATTTATTTCAGGTCTAAGGGCATTCCATAGCAACAACTTGTGCGATAAGTCACGGTCCAATGACTGTACCTGCTAGCCCATATTGTGACGCTGATTAGCTAGACAAACAGGTGTGAACCACAGACGGGTGTGCACGCAAAGTGAGAACACAACATGGAATCCATGTTTGGTTTTGATTTGAGGTTGGGGGTAGCATCTAAAACCTGGATGTAAACTAACTGTCCAGTGAAAATCTCACTTTTAAAAAGTTTATATTCTGTTAACACATACCCAAATAATGTTGTTGACTCATCCTATAGGCTACTCGAATGTGGCCAAAGCATAAATAAAAAATAAAAACTTTAAAAACCTCACGTCTAACATGTATCTCAAACATACATTCATACAGTTTCTTGACTGTGTCCAGCTCGCTAATAATCACCTAAATTAAATCTAGACATTCAGGTAGCATCGAGAATTCCAAAAACAATGGATAGAGGACTTTATTTTTAGCAAATTTAGACAGCAAGGAAATATAACCAATTTTCAGTGTGGCCCTCCAGACCTTGTTGAAGACCAAATGTGGGCCCCTGGGCAAAATGAGTTTGACACCCCTGGCCTGGCCCAATGTTGGACTAAAATACTTTACATGTTCTGTTTAAAGGGCAAATTGCCTCTGGAAACCAAAACAGCCAAATTCTCCATCTAAACGAGAATCCATTCTCAATTGCAGTATGGTTCTAGAAACATAATCCCTCTACTTTCATATCACATCAAAATAATTTCACAAATGCAAAATACACACTACACTGTTTGAAGCGGTTTTAACACAGTTGCAGCCTACAGTATTTTTCAGTGACAACACGTTTGTGGCATCGTCTTCCGTTCACACGTGTTTGGAGACGTAGATAGCTAATTAGCGCAGGTAATCCACTTGGTCTTCCATAAACAAGCGCTGTAACATAGAAATATGGCCATAAAGGTGTGTATCAATTTAACCTTGTATTTTGACAATGATTTCTTGCTGATATGAAAGATAATGTCCTTATGCTTCCAAAACCGTACCACAAGGGAGTTGTGTCAATGTTCAGACCAAGCATTGCAGCTCTTAACAACACTCACCCCTACAGAAGACGCCTTCGTCCAATGACTCTTATTTAATGGAACTGAGAGTAATGATCAAGGGCTACCCCTGGGCTAGAGACAGTGATTAGTATAGGCCTACGATTATTTAATATCCATACGTGTATAAGAAACGTATCCATGTGTCACAAACTATATTAACCACACATATAGCTTAGAGCATTTCCCATCATTTATTTTAATTTGAAAATAGTCCAATTTATGTAGCCTGTTAAACATATTATATGCATCGCTTAGAATTACAGTGAAATAGCATTTTCTTCCTCATTACACATTCATTCTCAATCACACCTATTAACCTGGGTATTATAAGTAGCCTATGTTTAAAGTGGATATAGAGAATTTACCTGACACCTGCTGAAAGACACGCATCACAGGGAACTCAGCGATGACATTTTGATTGGATTCAAATTATTCCTCAGGTGCCAAGCTAAAACAAGTTCTCGGATACCGTGTTAAAATTACAAATCCTGGCTGCATACCGTCACAATATAATCAAACAACTACATCTCAACGCGAAAATCATTGATGGAATTCCTTGTCTTGTGCGCGCAACCTTCTACAATTAAAAACTGAACGCTTTGGCAAACTGAAGAGAAGCCCCGTCAATACATGTAGCTACTAGCCTGTACAGACCAAAATCATAGAAAAAGTTGAAGGTAGATCAGCTCTTCAGTTTCCTTCCTTCTATGGCAAACGATTCGATTTGTGAGGAGGAGACTGGATGCGCAGAGAGTACGTATTTTGACGCTCCACCCTCTTCACGGGGATCAGCGGTCGTGTGCCACAGTCATAAACTTTATAAATGGAGCATGTCTTTTTGTCTTCTTTAACATAATAACCATAAATATTCATTCATATTCATATAATTAGTTGTATCATATGTCATGGTTATCTCAATTAATCTCATTCTAAATGGTATTTAAATAAAGGGGAAAACTAGGCTACATAAAACAAATAGCCTAGCCTGCAACTCAATAAAATAATGATCACATAGGCCTACTCGGTATAATCCATTTATAAGGGTATTGATTGAACACCAATGACACTGTTACTATTGTGTTAGTCTACCTATACAGGAAGAACACCATGTATTATCTCTATATTTAACTCAACCTAAAGACAAAGGGGCCAGGAGTGGCGCACCTTTAATCCCAATGGGTTAAAATGGTTAGAAATAGAATCCACCTCCTTAGTCCTTACAGCAAACATGCTCTCCAAATTCCAAATGTAGGCTATAACAATAAACAGTGTTGGGGAAGCTACTCTGAAAATGTAGTTTACCAAGCTATACCAATTACTTCTTACTGGAAGAAGTGAAGCTACACTAAAGCTACACTTAAGAAAAATATAATTTACTTAACTAAAGTTACTTTGAAAAAGTACTTCACTACATCAAAACTACTTAGTGAAAAATTATCATATCTAAATCAGAAATGTCATAGACTACAAATTGCAAGAACAGATCACTTTGGAGTCAGATGTTAACAGAATGTGTAATTTAGCCTATTAAACACAAAAACGAAGTTTAAAGTGATAATTAGGCAGGTCTGATGCTAAATAAGGAAATAAATGATTGCCTACTTCATCCATATTTAAGCCTCCAGCTCCCATTGAAAGAAGGCAGTGGCAGCAAAATCTTCAAATGGCATCCTTGAATTGGTGAGGCCTTCTGCTGCGTTAAGTCTGGAATACTTTTTTAAAGCACTAGAAGTACTTCAACTCTCTGGTCTGATAAAATAAGTAGGAGCCATCACAGAGGTAGCAGGCCTTTGGTTGGCCACACGCTACACAGGTCCTCATCTTTTTTCGCTGCTGATCTCTGTCACCATCCTCTTGACTGCAACCTGTGGCAGAGTGGCATCCTGGGGAGGACACACTGCTGGTGAGTTTACTGGAGCAGGTGCCTGGGGTGTGACTGGGACAGTGACCGTTTCACTCTTTGCAGTAAGACGCTGCCACCGCTCCTGTGTGTCCAGGAGCTTCTGTGGGCTGGTGTTAAGAGTAGAGCTGGTGTTCTTATGCTTGGCCAGATTTCACATGCCTGGAGATATGCTGCCTTGTGGTAGGGTGCAGGAGGCTGTTTGGGTCAGTGCATGTACTCTGCACCAGGGCAGCATAATCCCCATCCACCCGCTTCAGGATTCCGGATGTCTTTCTATCAATGGAGCTTGGCCAGGACCCCATCAATGGTTGCTCTCATGGGCTCTTTCCATCGGCTGTGGTCCAAGACAAAAACGTGACCTCCTGTCTTGATGGGCCTTGTATGGGCAACACGTGAGAAGCTGACTGGGGCAGTGGTGGTGTTGCTAGTAGAGGTGTACTTGGCAGATCTGAATGAGAGGCACAATACTATTTTAATAACAATGCGTTGAATATACACAAACTTAAACCGTGTGTGTGTGTGTGTGTGTAGTAGTAGTAGTAGTAAACAAACAAACATTTGACCAACTGGGGACATTTTGTTAGTCCCTACAAGGTCAAATGCTATTTCTAGGGGGTTTAGCGTTAAGGTTAGAACTAGTGTTAGGGTTAGAATTACATTAAGGGTTAGGGTTAGGAGCTTGGGTTAGTTTTAGGGTTAGGGTTAGGAGCTAGGATTAGGTTTAGGGTTAAGGTTAGGTTTTTGGGTTAAGGTTAGGGTTAGGGTAGGTGTAAGAGTATGGGTTAGGGTTAGGTTTAGGGTTAGGGGTTAGGTTAGGTTTTTGGGTTAAGGTTAGGGTTAGGTTTAGGGTTAAGGTTAGGTTTTGGGGTTAAGGTTAGGGTTAGGGGTTAGGGAAGATAGGATTTTGAATGGGACTGAATTGTGTGTCGTCGTCCCCCCCCCCCCCCCCCCCCCCATCTTTTTACGCTGCTGCTACTCTGTTAATTATTTATGCATAGTCACTTTAACTCTACCCACATGTACATATTACCTCAACTACCTCAACTAGCCGGTGCCCCCGCACATTGACTCTGCACCGGTACCCCCCTGTATATAGCCTCCCTACTGTTATTTTATTTTACTTCTGCTCTTTTTTTATCAACACTTTTTTGTTGTTGTTTTATGTAACTTTTTTTATTAAAAAATTAATGCATTGTTGGTTAAGGGCTGTAAGTAAGCATTTCACTGTAATGTCTACACCTGTTGTATTCGACGCATGTGGCCAATTAAATTTGATTTGATTTGAAGACTGCGTGTGTCTGTGTGTCTGTGTGTGTGGAAATTAACCCTGATGACACTCCTGAATAATGTACCATCTAAATCGCTGTGAAATATATTTTAAAAAACAGAAAATATAGTTTTTACAGCTGTGGACCAAAACCGGTTTTGGTCCACCAGCTTCAAAGAGCGTTTTTGGTCAACCAGCTTCAAACAGCTGTAAAAACAATAATTTTGGTTATTGAAAATATATTTCACAGCAATTTAGATGGTACCATGATTCTCTACACTATTCAGTGCTTGTTTCGCACATAAACTGAAATTGAGCAAATAGTGTAGAATTTTAGCAACCAGGAAATGAGAGCGATTTCCACTAGATAACACCGCCACAAAGTCAGAACAGCTTTCCAATTTTGACAACAGATGCCACTCCGGCGGTATTAATAAATAGGCGAATATCACAGCCAATCACAACACTGGCGGGTAAGTAATACTGTGAAACACTATCGTTCCACTGTTACTGCAGATATATTATGGACATTTTCTGAAATGACAATAATAATAAAGGGAACACTTAAACAACACATCCTAGATCTGAATGAATGAAATAATCTTATTAAATACTTCTTTCTTTACATAGTTGAGTGTGCTGACAACAAAATCACACAAAAATTATCAATGGAAATCAAATTTATCAACCCATGGAGGTTTGGATTTGGAGTCACCCTCAGAATTAAAGTGGAAAACCACACTACAGGCTGATCCAACTTTGATGTAATGTCCTTAAAACAAGTCAAAATGAGGTTCGGTAGTGTGTGTGGCCTCCACGTGCCTGTATGACCCCTGGGCATGCTCCTGATGAGGTGGCGGATGGTCTCCTGAGGGATCTCCTCCCAGACCTGGACTAAAGCAACTCCTGGACAGTCTGTGGTGCAACGTGGCGTTGGTGGATGGAGCGAGACATGATGTCCCAGATGTGCTCAATTGGATTCAGGTCTGGGGAACGGGCGGGCCAGTCCATAGCATCAATGCCTTCCTCTTGCAGGAACTGCTGACACACTCCAGCCACATGAGGTCTAGCATTGTCTTGCATTCGGAGGAACCCAGGGCCAACCGCACCAGCATATGGTCTCACAAGGGGTCTGAGGATCTCATCTCGGTACCTAATGGCAGTCAGGCTACCTCTGGCGAGCACATGGAGGGCTGTGCCCCCCCAAAGAAACGCCACCCCACACCATGACTGACTCACCGCCAAACCGGTAATGCTGGAGGATGTTGCAGGCAGCAGAACGTTCTCCACGGCGTCTCCAGACTCTGTCACGTCTGTCACATGTGCTCAGTGTGAACCTGCTTTCATCTGTGAAGAGCACAGGGCGCCAGTGGCGAATTTGCCAATCTTGGTGTTCTCTGGCAAATGCCAAACGTCCTGCACGGTGTTGGGCTGTAAACACAACCCCCACCTGTGGACGTCGGGCCCTCATACCACCCTCATGGAGTCTGTTTCTGACCGTTTGAGCAGACACATGCACATTTGTGGCCTGCTGGAGGTCATTTTGCAGGGCTCTGGCAGTGCTCCTCCTGCTCCTCCTTGCACAAAGGCGGAGGTAGCGGTCCTGCTGCTGGGTTGTTGCCCTCCTACGGCCTCCTCCACGTCTCCTGATGTACTGGCCTGTCTCCTGATAGTGCCTCCATGCTCTGGACACTACGCTGACAGACACAGCAAAACTTCTTGCCACAGCTCGCATTGATGTGCCATCCTGGATGAGCTGCACTACCTGAACCACTTGTGTGGGTTGTAGACTCCGTCTCATGCTACCACTAGAGTGAAAGCACCAACAGCATTCAAAAGTGACCAAAACATCAGCCAGGAAGCATAGGAACTGAGAAGTGGTCTGTGGTCACCACCTGCAGAACCACTTCTTTATTGGGGGTGTCTTGCTAATTGCCTATAATTTCCACCTGTTGTCTATTCCATTTGCACAACAGCATGTGAAATGTATTGTCAATCAGTGTTGCTTCCTAAGTGGACAGTTTGATTTCACAGAAATGTGATTGTCTTGGAGTTACATTGTGTTGTTTAAGTGTTCCCTTAATTTTTGTTTAGCCGTGTATATTACAATGCATAAATTCAAATAATCCCATGTGTAGCACCTTTAATTAGTGGATGTCCATCATCCATTTCATATGTAATGTTACGAATTACAATTCGTAATTACAATTGTCTTATGTAACCATACCAAACGTAAAATATAACACGAATTCGAGTGCCCTGGATTTACGTTTACTATGTTACGTCTAGTCTATGACACCAGGCTGGTAGGAAGATTCCAAAA